TGTTGCAGTAATGCCTTAACAGGGAAGTGGCAAAAATTCAGGAACAAAAGATATCATTGTTGATGTCAGATGGATTCTGAACACTAGAGATATGTTTATTTGTGTTTTATTGCCTATGCAAAATAATTGGACTATGTGAGTCATAACCAATTCTTGATAACAGTGTGTGAATTACAGAACACTTCATGGTGCTCATGTAAAACCTTTTCATAAATCAAGTGGCAGTTGTTCAGGTGGAGAAAAGAGGTGATATGTGTTTTAAATAGGGAAAGGTGTGAATCAAGGTCGGCTCCATCAGCAAAGGTATTCAATTGGTATGCTGACCAAATAACCCTTGAAATGGACTATATAAAGGAGAAAGAGGCATCAGAACACAGAAAGAAAGCATTAGCAACCTGTGATACTCAGATGACACAACATGCCTTGCTAAAAATGAAGAGAATATATAGCATTTACTGACAGTGATTAGAAGCTATACACTGCAATATGGGTTACATCTCAGTGTAAAGAAGACAAAAATGGTTAGAAGTGGTCCAATAAGCAACATCATGATACATAGATAAAAGTCTGAAGTTGCCAAGGCTTTCCTCATACTTGGACCTCCAATGAACGCTCATGGAAACAGTAAAAAATAATGTATTGTAAAAAGTGATCATAATAATAATAATATATTGTAATACGCAAATGTGCTGTGCAAGACCCCTTTAAAATGCTCGAAAGTAAAGAGATTACTTCAGAGAGAAAGGTGTGCTTGAACCAAGCTATGGTGTCTTTAATCACCTGCTAGGCATGGGAAAGCTGAACTTGAATTAGAAAAGCTGGAGAATTAGTACCTTTAAATTATGACGCTAGTGAAAAATCTTGAGTATATCACAGACTACCGCAAGAACACGCAATTTTAAGAGGAAATTAAGAGGAAGATCCTCGATGAGATCGGTTGATAGAGTGATTGGGAGAGCAGGCTCAGGCACAGCAGTAATTGTGAGTTACTGTGGTACGTAGGGTCACTGTGGTATGTGGGGTCACTGTGGTACGTGGGGTCACTGTGGTACGTGGGGTCACTGTGGTATGTAGGATCACTGTTAGTTGGAACCATCAATAGCACTAAGAACAATGGCAAATGGAACCTGTGCTCATTCACTCCTTAATGGTGCAGACATTAAAAGGGACACTCCTGAAATTAGACTGTCGCATTTTGAATTCTGGTTTTACTATAAGAACTCAGGAAAGTTGAGCATATTTTAGATATATAGTATACTTGAATATAATATTTTACACTGACAAATTTGAAGAGGTTGGTGAAAAAAATAATCTTTTGTTGGAAAATAATTCCACTGTTGGTGTTTTTGTGTGTAGACATTGTTATGAGTAGTTTTTTTGCAGGCAAAATGGAATTGTGGAAACTGAAAGGCTTCATGGCCACTGAGATAACAGATTTGTAAGAATTATAATAAAACAGAAGGTTACATGCATCAGGGTAAGAGCAGAATCACTGAACCTTCTACATACAAGTATTTTGTAGTTACTAATAATATGAAATAATTCCTAGTAGTGAAAGAATATCAAGTACTTCAGGAAAAACTTTCATTTACATAATAGCCATAAACTTAAAATTCTCAATTTGTGGAATGCAAATGTTCATTGAAAGAATAGCCACAATCATTTTCAGGCCTAAAAATTCTAAGAATCATAACAAGTTGTAAGCATTTTATTATACTTGAAGTTAAAGCTAGAATTATTTTTAAGATCAGGGAATCCTTTGAAACAAAGTGAGTTGAAGGTATTTTACACCTAGGTTCACCAACTGAGTGCCACAGTTACTTCCAACTCAGCAACCCTATAGGGTAGAAACAGGATTGCTCAGATTTGTTGAGTTGTTCACCTTTAAGAGAGTAGATAGCCTCATATTTCTCCCTCTGGGGCGGATGAGATCAATCTGTTGATCTTGACGTTAACAGCCCAACACTGAACCCATATATCTCACCAAAGATCCTATTCACCTATGCTATATTATTACTACTCAATGCCACTGAGTCAATTCTAACTCATAGCAACCCTTTGTCGAATAGAGTAAAACTGCTTCTCTAGGTTTCCAAGACCCTAGATCTTCATAGGAGTAGAAAGTCTCATGCTTCTTTCAGGGAGCTGCTGATGGTTCCAAACTGCTGATCTTGTGGCTAGCAGACCAACATGTAAGGAACTACTCCACCAGGGTAATTGAGGTTATATTAAAAGAGGATGGAAAACAGTGTAGGAAGGAAAGTAGTCATGTTGCCATATAAATGATGATCTCCTTTATCAAGACAATATAATTATGGATTATTATTCTTTATTATTATTTTAATATAATTAAATGTGAATTTTAAAAGCAAATACAGTTAACTATTTTCTTAGTTATATGAGCTCACACAGGAATCCCATGAAATCACAACCCAGAGTTTCTTGATTCATTTAAATTTTGAGTGTAAGAGACTGCCTAGGAAATGTCAATCTTTGGAATATTGACCTGTAAAATGACTTGAAATACCACAAGGGCAATTATTTTCACTTGATGTTTAATGAGCCACAAATATGGAAAGATTCTGTGGAATGGTAAGCTATTAAGAATTAGAATAACCTCATATTGTACAATCTTTGAGCCTAAAACTTAAAAAAATTTACTTATATATTTCTTTTTATCAATTGACAATTCAAATAGAAGTATGTTTTAAATAATATTTCTAAAAGTGAATTTCAATATCTGACTTAGGCATGCTTCTGATGTCATTGAAAATTATATGTAACATGATTTTTGTAGTATTTTCATGATTTAGTTACAGATATGTGACTATAATAAAATAGCATTACATTATCATTTAAAGGAACTTCAAGATAACATCAGGTTTTTAATAAATGTTGCAGAATACTATGAAAATGCCCTAATCTTTCCTCAAAATAGAAATATTAATTTGACACATGCTCAAATTTTTATAAAATTTCATGTTCTATAGTTAACATTTCGAAAAACTTATAATCAATTTACAACACAATGTGTGCTAATGATGCCTTTCCCCATTAGTCCCATTAAAACAACATATAAGAAACCAAACCAAACCCCCAAATAAAACAACTCAAAAAGAAGGTGCCCAAATAAAGGTATTTTGAATTTTTATGTTGGCAAATCAAGATTAAAGGCAATTCTAATGTTCCCAACTTGGGGCTGCTTTTATTGATTCTTTTCACTCAGTTGTGTCTCTAGCAAAAATGATATGTTTGGAAGACCAGAGATAAGGAGAAATGCTAAAGACTGGCTTTCAAAAGGTTTTAAAAACCTGATGCGTACTTGTCTATACTACTCAGTAGCAACTAACCACCAATCCTCCAATTTAAGCATCTTGCTTAGCACAAGAAAAATCATTTTTATGATTTATACTCTCAAGACCTCTGTGTTTATTATTCCATATAATAGACACAGAAGGTAGACATATAAAAGGAATCTGATCTTTTCTTTTATTTCTCATGATGATATATATCTATATAAAATATAAATATATTATAATGTTTTCTTTTCACAGATGAGAACTGTGAAACGAAGTCAAAATGGCATCCCTTTCATCCTGGTCAGTCACAAAGCTGAGACTGGACTCATCTGGTATGAATTATTTTTCAGCATGATATTGATTTAAAGTGTAGCCAACTTCCAGTAACAGAGAATTCACCGCTGTGTTTCCACAGCATGCATATGTTCTACTATTTCCTATGAGAAAACAGAAAGCATGCCCCTTAAAAGCATGTGAACATGGAAATAAATGTCAAGGTTTGCTCAGCCTCTTTTAAGTATTTAAGCATCTCAGAATCACCACAGTAACAGCCGTGGAAACATTCTTTAAAAATTTACTTAATCAGCTGTAATGGAATGTGCTTCTTATAAATCTTAGGCTTCATGAAAATTCAATTTCAATCCTCAGGACATAGGGTTTACACATTTCAACAACTCACTGATATCAAGTTAATTTCCACTCAAGACTACACTACAGAACAGAGTAAAATTACCCCTGTGGATTTCCAACGCTGTAAATCTTTACAGGATTATGAAAACCTCATCTTTCTCACAAGAAACAGTTGGTGGTTTCAAACTGCTGACCATGTATGTGGCTAGCAGCCCAACCAGTAACTCATGACACAACCAAGACCTCTGTCTAATAAAGAAAGTTACACTTCACTCTAAGACAGTCAGAACTACAGGTTGACCACATCCTTTCGGAGGGAGTTTCCTGCCCCTGCTGGGATCACCTTTGGCTAGCAGAGGGTGTCAATATTGACTTTGGGGCAAGAATAGGTTGGGGAGGAGTGGGATGAGAACCAGCAAGGGAGAAAGAGGAGATAGGAACAACAGAGACCAAGAGGAGCAGGAGGAAGTGGGGCAGAGAGGGAGAAAGGAGGGAAGGGAGGAAAGAAGAGAAAGGGACAGGGGTGGCAACTCAGTTTATTTTTCTACCAGAGTTGTGAATAACAGAAAAACCAAAGCATTTTACAGTAAAGATAAAGTTGGCACATTTGTTCAAAGCCACCTGAGGACGTTGGTTAATAGTAAGTATTTCTACAATGAAATCTGTGAGAGCCGGAATTCTAACAGGCTACCTAGTTGAGTCTGTGTCCCGTTATCAGATCTTGCAGGTCTTCTGCCTTGGCAAGGGGCTCTTGTTCCGCTTTTCCTTGACTCTCACTTAGTGGGAAATAGTGGAGCTTTCTGTCTCTAGCAGGGTTCCACTTTACACAGTTACTGGCTTTGGCAGGCTTTACTGAACCTAAGTTATCCTACCTGGTATGCCAAATACCACTCATCAGCCCTTTCTAGCCAGTTTGTCTTTCCCTTGATGGAGCTTAGGGGTTTAGGACAGTTGTGGCCACATTCTCCCACGAACTTTTTTCTGAGCCTCTCTCTTTTTATTAAAGCAACCCTCAGCTCTTTTATAACCTTATCCCCTTGTTCCTTTCTACCGCCTCCTTCCCTGCCTTACCTGTCCACCGCGATGGCTGTCATGGAGTAGATGCTGGCGAACACCGCTGTGATTGGAAAGAAGTTCTGGAAGCGGCAGTAGTTGGCCCCGAAGTACCACTCGCTGTGAAGCGCATAGATGAAATTAACTAAGGCGTTGAAGGCCGCCATGGAGGCGTCTGAGAACGCCAGATTCACAAGGAAGTAGTTGGTGACGGTTCTCATGCGCTTGTGGGCTAGGATGATCCAGATGACAATGATGTTGCCGAACACTGCCACCGCCACCACCACTCCATACGCCAGGGACCAGAGCGCAATTCGCCAGGATGGCTGCACAAACTGGTTGGTGAGGTTGGCCCGGTGCTGAGGAGGTTCCGGGGAGGCAGACTGGTTTCCACCGAGGACCAGCAGGTGCACCCCGACGGACTCCGCGGTCTCCGCAGAAGCCCCTGCAGCGAGCTGGGAACTCAGGTTGTCAGAGGATTCTGCACCTACAGCCCCCGAGCTATTGGTCCAGTTCGCGACTGCTGTGAGTAAGGCCATCGCTGCTGCAAGTCTGCAGGCAGGGACCTAGTCACCCGCCGCCAGCGTCCCCAAAGTTCTCCTTCTCCTGGCCACTTTCGGAGGGACAGGCTTCTGTCCGCTTGTGAGCTCGCAGATGGGTCCCTTCTGACGCTGGAGAGCAGCCGAGTGGAGACAGCGGGGACTGGCGAGTAAGGATGCGCTTCTCCCGGAGTTTGCAGCCCCGCAGGCGGGAGACAGGAGACTGGGAGAAGAGATTTTAGGGCCCGCCGTTCTCAGCGCGGAACTCAGCTCCTGTTTGATTCTCCCAGGGCTCTGCAGCACACAGGTTGGAGCATTGAAGCGAGGGCGCCGCGCGCTTTATAGTCTCCGGGGACCTGCCGCTTTGGTGACGTCGTGGGGGCCTGAAGCTAAAGAACCACTCAGCGCCCAAGATGAATCGCACTGCTCCAGCCCGTCCTCCGGGTTTCATTCATTCTTTTCTCATTGTCCAGCAGCTGATGCTGGCTGCACAAGGAAGGGCTGTCTTCCTGGGCTGTGATGAAAACGTTTACAAAATAGTTTTTCCTCTTTCAGCTTCACGATACTGTGCTTTGGCCCTGATCCTCAAAATGTTGGTTTATTGTAATTATTTCAGCACGAGTTAAACTCGTTTATCAGACAGACTAAGGCAGGAGTCCAGTAGATTTTTGTTTAAAGAACGCATTGCTCTAGCCTGCTACAGGTTCTGGCTACAGGGTGCTGCATGTTCCTGTAGGGAACACTGGGTTTTCATTTAATTGTTTGCTACCGTGCTTACGTTCTCACTTCTCAGACTGACGTACCCTCCCGCTTCTTCTAATCGCTATCCCCAGACACCAGTCCTCTTCAGCACCCTGCCACCTTCACCAAGAGACATGGGTTTAGAAGGATTTCTTGAACCAGTGGAGGCGTGGATTTCTTTATTCTTCTAGGATGAAGGCATCGTGTGAGTGACTTTAAATACGTACACTTAGTTATGTGGGTTGGGATTTTGGAGCCTTGGTTTTCAAAAACTGTCATCTAGAGCATGCTGGTGAGTATTCACAGGAACCTTCATTTCCAAGGGTAGATGAGCGAGCCTGGCTTCTGAACTTTGGCTCAGTGAAACCAGATGAACAAGAGCACTGTTTCGGACAAGCTGCAGGCAGTAAGTACTCCGTGCTCAGATCTGAGCTCCCAGGCAATTTATCAGGCTGTTCAGAGCAGAAACTACCCTGGAGACAGAAGTATGGGGACTTAGGGCTCAGTGTATTTTCAGTGAATTCCTGGAATACAATTGAACTCTTTGAAATGTAGTTTCCTTACTTGAAAATTGGTCTTAAAATTTCTATAAATTGCAGGATAATTCATTTCAATCCTGCTGTTGTTATTAGGTGCTGCACCAGTGAGTCTGTTCTGGTCCATAGCGACCCTGTTTTGTGCAACAGAAAGAAACACTGCTCATCCTGCTCCAGTTGTTTGCATGTTTGAGCCATTGTTGCAGCCACTGTGCTAATCTCCCTCATCAAGGGTCATCCTCTTTTTTTTGTTGCCCTACTACTATACTGAGAATGATGTACTTTTCCAGGTACTGGTCTCTCCTGGAGCCCTGGTAGCATGGTGTTTTCAAGTTGGGCTGCTAACCGCAAAGTCAGCAGTTCAAAGCCATCAGGCATTCCTTGAGGGAAAGATAGATTTTTTTCTCTAGTAAAGAGTTGCAGTCAAAACTCACAATTCTATCCTGTCCTATAGAATCATTTTGAGTTGACATCAATTAGATGGCAGTGAGTCTACTTTTGTATTATTGTTGTTGGTCTCTCTTGATAGCTTGTCCAAAGTAATGGATTCAATAAACACTCTCAATAAAACCAGATGTGTAGCCTACCTCAATAAGTGATCATAAGTACTTTTCACATACATACATTTTCTAGTAAGCTGGATATGGGCAGCAAATTGTATTTGCTTAATTTGAAGGTAGTATGTGACTTATGGACAGATTCAGAGCATATTGTGCCAAAATACTTCTGTAATTATTACACAAATAGACATGTAGGCTGATTGATCAGGTACAGAAATTTTCCTTCTTGGCATTTCTATGACTAAAATGTATTAATTAGTTTGCGACATCCTGATTATAATTGTATTGGTACAATCTTCCTTTAAGCAATTGCTTCCTGAGGATGGTAGTTCTCAAGCTTATTACTTCTCACTTTTCCCACAGAAGCCTGTGAAATTATGTGATAAATCATAGGTGAAGTTAATAAAGACTACACTTCATGTTTACGAATTCTAAGGTAAACCATTTTTTTGAATGCTTCTTTCTTATTTGTCATCTTTAATTAGTGGAGTTACAATTGAAAGCCTCTTTTACCCTAATAAAACTAAGCCCCCTCACCAAACATTTAACTAAAACTAAATAAACAAATAGACCTTGTCTGGTACAAACAACTTAGCCAATGTTTTGTTGTGACTGTGTGGCATTGAACTGATTCTGACCCATATTGATCTTATAGCACGACAGAGTTGGACGTTAAAGCTACAATCTTTACGGGAACCGATCATCACATCTTTCTTCCTCCGGGTGGTTGGTGATCTCACACCACTGGTCTCTCAGCAACTGATTCCTTAGCCATCGCACCCCAGGGCTCGTTATCTAACAGCACAAAATTACAGCAGTAGACAGCATTACACCACCAGGACCACACTTGGCTTGATGGCAGTGAGTTTGGTTTTGGTTGATTGATAATTAGTTATGAAGAAATTGATGTCGTTCATACTGTTGATTGACTTATCTATACAGAATATTCATAAGCTTTGAATTCCTTTTCTTTGAATTTATAGATGGATAAGCATGATATAACAAAAGCAAACAATCAAGCCAGACACACACACCCACACCCACACACACACCCCCACAAACCCTAAGTGATAATGATGGAATTAGAAGTAGGTATATAGAAATCTGTTTAGAAATTCCTTTTTAGAGGGAGAGACCAATGACCTTCGTTCTTCCCACTTGAAAGGGCTCAACTTCTGGCATTATATCAGACAATATTCCATTGCTATTCACACACTTATTCACATGAACATGCACGTGCGCAAATGTGTGAGGATGGTAGGAACCCCTAGGTGACTTTAGCATGTTTTAGATAATAGTGAGCTAAAACGGAGTTTCATGGCAGATTAAGTTGTTTTGCAGATTTTTTTAAGGCAGTTTCAAGTCATCGTCACCCTATTTACAACAAAATTGAGCACTGCGTTTTCTCCTAGCATCCTCACAATTGTGCACATGTGTGAGTTGTTTTACAGCCACTGTGTTAATCTTTCTCAGTAAGGGTCTTCCTCTTCCTTTGGAACCTTGGCTTAAGCAAGCCTACGGTCCCTCTGGTCCCTCCTGATAACATGTCTAAAGTACACAAGACCAAGCCATACCCACCTTGCTTCTAAGAAGCTGCACTTTTTTCAAGACAAATAATAGGGTACATTTTCATGTAATGTTACTAACTAGAGAAGGGGTTATTTTTGAGAAGAAAATGTTGTCAAAATCCCAGATTTCTTAATTTTCGCTATGGTAATTTTTAAAACCAATTCTTATCGATTAACACTTTGAGCCTCATTTTGAATTATTTTTTATTTGTTTTTTGAACATATTTTTCAATCACTCTGGAGCAGTCCTAAGCTCTGAATTTTTTACTTCTAGAATGAGAATGCAGATAAGCATAAAACAGCAAGCAATCAGTTATTTGGTCCCCTAAAATTTCCCTTAAATTCCGGTTCCCTTCTAAGCACTCTTTCCATGTTCACCTGTACACAGATCCCATATCCAAAATTCTCTTCTATTTTTAACCTCTTCCTTTCCATCCTCAGCAAATTGTGACACCTCTCATTTCTCTGGCAAAATTAAAACTACGATCCCATCCATTACTCGGCATTTTGTCTTTTACTACTGTCTCAGAGTCCTGGTGGTATAGTGGTTTACACGTTGGGCTGCAATCAGCAGTTCTAAAGCACCAGCAGCTTCGCTGCAGAAAGGGTGGGCTTTCTACTCCCATAAACAGTTACAGTCTCAGAAACCCACACGGGCTTCTCTGTTAGTCAGCATTGACTTGATGCAGTGTGTTTGGTTTTACTATCTCAGAAAAAGTAACTGTTCTCCTCCAAAGATGGATCCTCTTTGCTACATGTTTTTTTATGTTTTGCAGTCATGGATGTATGTGGTAGTTACATAATCTGTTGTCAATGTCAGGATTAAGAGTGAAGGCATGGAGTTTAACCTGTCATTCAAGTGGCAGTTTGATGACCTCATTTGGAGGCACTAAGGAGATAAATTGCTTGCTTGACGTGGGACACACACTCACTCCCTGCGGGACATTGCAGCTGACAAGACACATGGAGCTACTCTAGAGTCTTGGAGCTGGAGAAGCCATGTGGAGACCCCTGCCAGTACTGAGATGCTTACAATGCCACTGGATCCACAAGACTTCACATCCACTGGCCTGTGATCTTCATGCATTCTGCGTCATTGCATGTGTTTTGTGAGTCTGAAGAGGACTTTATAGTTTGGTATCTGACATATGGGTTAATATTGGACTTATGGACTTGATCTGGATTGGGCATGGATGCTTTCTTAATGTACAATTACTCTTTATATAAAGTTCTTTCTTATACACATATGAGAGTCTATAAAATTTGTTTCTCTAGTCTACCCAGACTAACACACTGTCTTTTCTTTTTCTCCAACCTCTTATCTGTTTTACTTACAAATTTAGATATATTTAACAGTGGTGGGGTGAAATTTCTTAATATGGCTCTTCTACTCATGCCTCTGTAACACCCATCAAAGAATTGGGTGTGACCATGCAGAAAGCGTGTGTGTAAAACTAGTAGAGGGGATTGTCCAACTTTTTGTTGCCACCCTCTGGCTAAAAAGATGAGCCATTCTGTGAAGCAATGGCAGAGAAGAGAGAACCCTGGAGGAACTTGGACAAAGACGTTCGAGGTCTCGGTCAGAAGTGGCTGAA